CTTGCTAAGGAATGATGTAAAGGCCATCTTAAGCTGTTGTCTGGTTAAAAAGATTATCGTGGCAATGGAAGAAGTTGAAAGAAGAAAAAGTCTGAAGAATTTAGTAGAAATTTGAATTTGGGCCTATTCTCCAAATATCCTCCTGCTACATTACAGTACACTTTAAAGGTACCAGGAGAATCGCTCAGCGAAGGAGAGCTCATCTAAGCAATTTATAAGGCTGTGCAACGTAAGATAAAAGAGTTACAAGAGTTTGAAAATTGTAATTTTGGCCGTCATCATGAAAAATCAACCTCAACCCTACATATAGGCTACCGCCTATATAATAATCATTGATGTATTATTCATCATTGATGACACAGTGCATTTTATAGTCCAGTGTTCCATTCAGTAGTCCATTCAAGTAATCCATTTCAGTGAATTCAGATAACCATTTGAAATGTGAGGACAGATCCAGGCCAATATTTGGATCATCCCCCTCGTTAGCAGTACCTCCATTGGCTAAAGTACTGAATATAATCCATTAGATGGGGCAATCATCTTTTATTCTTTCACTGAAATTTGTTAAAGGGCAGGTTACAGTCGATGTTTATGGCCTGCTGTGGTGACCTAGCAATAGTGATTGGCAATACCAGATTTTTCCATTTTGATTTGATACCAAGTACTTCACCTGAGAGTATTGATGGTACTGAGTATGGTTCCGATTACCTTTAGCATCTATAGCATGGAATAGCCACACGTAGCCATTTTTAATTAATTACTCAATATTTATGAATAATAATTAGCTGGTTATTACTAATTATTATTGGTTATAATAGTTAATTAATGCTTAATGGGTGTGCCTTCCGGAAGCAAAACTTCAGTCAGTATTACTTTTTAATTTGGTACTAGCAAATCAAACCGTTACCACCCATCACTACTAGCGGGCCAACAGACATAATTATAATGCAGAAGGCTCAGTCTCACATATCAATGGTGTTTGGCCTAGTTTTCTAAATTTCACTTTGTACTAATAAAAAGAATTTACTGTAACTAGCTACACCCATGGGTGTGGCCACAAATTGGCTATAAGATATACCACGCCTTGACCTTATTGGCCTGTTTTCTAGCTCCGACACCATATCATTATGAGTTCAAGCTGTAGCTCGCCAGATTTCCCTTCTTCTTTGTCAAGAATTTAGCAACAGCAGCAGGCAGAGCCCTGCTAAAACTAGGAGGCGCCCCAAAACTGTACATAGTCGCAGAAAAAGGTGCACCACAAACAAAGCTGTAATGAAGTTATGGCAGAGGATGTAATCATCCCTTAATGACACCATATTTGTTAGAGTTCAGTCTCTGGAATCCAGTAGTAAGGCTGGGCCGCCATCAAAAAAGATGTTGACCCGTCACAGGGTGGTCTGAGACTGGGCAGACAGGGTAGGCAACACTGACCTTGAAGACTTGCCATCTGCTGAATCCAGCTGGTCCGACCATGAGGAGGACAACGAGCAGAAGGAAACTCCAGCTGCCATTTACTTTCCATAAATCCTTCAATAGAAGCCACATTTGAATAAATGCTGGGGTAGCAATACATTTAAACTAGAAATACGCAAAACTTGCCTAGGAGTGACTCAGTAGTCTAATGGATAATGCCTGAAGTTCCAGAAGTCAAAAGCATGAGGTTACAGGTTTCAATCTCACTGTGGGCTGAAGTTTTTTTATATTTTTCTGAGATCCAAATACCATTTTAGGAAAAAGACGACCAGGCTTTTATTTAAGGAAATATGGTATCTCTATTAGAGGAGGATAGAGCCTTCCTCGTCTCAGCCTTCACTTCTACCCTTCCTATCATGGAACGTAGGAAATTGAAAAGCTGATTTCAATGTCCAAGTTTGATGAAGACTAGATGCCCGTGCTTGGATCAACTATTTAATCTCCCACTGCTATTACCTAGGAGACTAAACCTGCAGATGCAGATCTATCCAGGATCTAGGCCTATATTCACAATACTATAGGGCCATTGATTTGACTGTTGGTTTCAATGAACTCAGAGAGTTCCCCTAACAAAGCATTGTCTCTCATAAAGGCCTCTGCATGCCTAAAAGATGCAATCAGACTGTTGGGTAATGCATTATCTAATCTGTCTCGCATGATGAGACTCAAGGTATTGAAGGATGTCAACCCAAGCATCACAGGGCTTGCAGATGAGGATCTGTATAGAGAAACATCAGTTGAACAATTTGGAACTGACTTCATGGAGTGGATGAAATCTAAGGCAGATCCTGTCAAGAATCTCGCATCATCTAAATCCAACCTGCAGCAGAAGAGACAGTTTTGGCCACAAAGCTGCCCCACTGCCCCCGAGAGGTGCTGGCCAGTCTCGAAGATGAAGCTGGCACGAAAGAAGCCATTACAAGCAGCCTACAAAGAAGTAGACACATTGAACAGTGTCAATTCTCTGTCATTCTTCGTCTATTCAAAGTTTTATAAAAGACACGAATCAAGTAATATTAAAAACAGGGGGTTATTACCACTAATAGTGGTGGAGCCAAATATCACAGGAAAGTTAGCTCCCTTCCATGCAAACTGGCTTGTCACAGCCAAGATCAGTGAATCTTGACACCATTTTGGGCTACAAGATATATGTCCTATCAAGGCCAACCCAATTGCCATGCCCCAGAGCAGGTGCCGTCCAAGGGAGCTATGACAGTGTTGCCCCCCGGAAGCAGGAAATGGGTTCTGTTCCGGCCTGGTCCTGAAATACTAGGGGCTACGTGTTCGTTGAGGCTTTTAAGAGTTATTTACTGACCTTGTGCCACCATCCTTCTTGGTGACAAGCTTGTTCCCATAAAGGATGGTGGGACTAGGCCGGTAATAACTCTAAAAGCCTCAACGAGCACGTAGCAGCCACCAACATATCAAGATAGAGGGCTTCCATGATTCCAATCCAACAGTCCCACCATCCAGTCGATAGCTTTGCTGCTTTTTACTGCCTCTGCCAGTTCACATGTCTGCCATATGGCCTTTCCTGTGCTCCCTGGGTTTTTACCAAGACCATAAAGCCAGCTCTAACACTGCTCAGAGCTAAGAGTTAGGCTAGTAGCATAGACAATATCCTCGGCAGTGTTAGCAGAGTTAGCAAAGGACCACACAGAGGGACTGGTATACCTGCTAGAAAATCTGGGATTTATATCCCACCCAAAGAAGTCAGTGATGGTTCCAACCCAGGAGATTGAAGTCCTGGGGATGATGGTCGATTCAGGCTCCCTGGAGCTTCGTCTGCCTGGTCAAAGGATAAAGAAGATCAGGCAGAACAGCTCACAAGGTGTCACGCCTACTGGAAACAAAAGGAAGCCAAGAAGGTCACTGCTGTGTTCTCTTGGAAAAACAAGTCGCCGACACTAACAATTTAATCATGTATTTAGGAAAAGAAACCTTTTGAGCCTGGTGTCCCATCTACTGCTCTCTAATGAGAATGTTTATAATATTTGTTGCTACCAGCAGTTCTCCAGTTATTTGTGTCGAAAACAAAGAATTGAGAAGCTTTCTCAATGAATTGAACCCTAGGTTTTCTGTTCCTCCTCGTAATACCTTATATAGAGAGATGTCAAAGTTACTTACAGAACTTAAGTGAAGAATTTCTTCTTCACTTGAAGGAGGCAAAATAGCTTTGACCATTGCTATTTCTTCAAAGAAAGAAATGTCGGAATCATTCCTAGGTGTTACTGGTCACTGTTTTTTGCAGAAAAGCTGTTTTTCAATTCATTTTACCCAAGCAGTGAAGCAATTTACTCATCCTCAAACAGCAGGAGTTCTTCAGATAGCAAGAGATGTTCTTTGAGACTTGGAAATAGATGTGATTAGAGTCAGTAGAATTGTAACTGACAACAGTTTGAATATGGTTGCTGCGTTTAAAGAGAGTCAACTTATACTAAAGGAGAAGGAAGACGGGAATGCAGAGGGAGTGGAGGAAGAGGTAATAGAGGAGGTGATAGAGCAGGTGAAAGAGGAAGTCATTGAGGAAGTGATATAGAAGGCTCGGGTTGATGACAAAATTGAATCTGCTGTTGATGACACTTTGGTCCTGGAAGAGATAGAAGCATTTGATAATGCGAAGATTCAGCATGATTCCATCTTTTCGAGTCTGATTAGTCTGAGTTGCTTCTCCCATACTTTAAAACTGGTTGCTTGACAATTCGATACTTTTCGTTCAGTAAAGAAAATATTGGCCAAAGTATTTTCACTTGTTAAAGGTGTCATGCCTACTGGTTCTTTCCATCGGTGGAGGTGCTTGCAGAGAGAAACGGAATCGTTTGAGTGGATAATGCTTTAAATAAGCTTTGCCCCCAAAGAAGAAAAGTTAATATAGACAGTAGTACTGACAACACTGCTTTGGTATTGCCTCGCTCAAAAAAATGCTAAATTAATTGTTTGAATTAATTTGAATAACATAATAACCAAATTTTAATGTCAAAGATGATGATAGTTGTAGTAGTGTTTTTGTATCTATAAAACTCAAACATTAAATGTAAACTAAAAGATATAAAACCAAATGTATTGTAAAAATGACCATGGTAATAGTAGTCTGATTGTGTCTATTAAACTGTTAAGCATTTAATTAAGGAAAAAGTAATCCAAAAAAGATGATGTCATCTTTACTTATGAAGAGCCTCCCAACCTAGATATTGTGAGTAGGACACAAGGGGATTATGTTTACTACTCTGGTAATGAAGAATTTCAAAGGTGGTGTGAGATTTTAAACCTTAAGTTTGTAACAGCTGCTAGAATCTTACCTGTTTGTCCAATGACACCATTGTCGGATGAAAGAGTTCCTAATACTACTCTTGATGTCCCTGTTGATGGGAACTATTTATTTTATGCCCTTTCATATCTTATTACTGGGTCTATTTTTCAGCATTACAAATTACGTAAAGCAATTGTTAGTAATATGCCAAACTTTGAAGAATTTTTTAATAGTACATTAAGTTCAACCGGATATTCAAGCATATATGATTACATAAATAAGTCAAAAATGTATAGAAATTATGTGTGGGCCACTGACACAGAGATTATTACACTAACTGCAATATTGGGTACAACCATATATTCATGTTCTGTAACTCCTTTTGTTGGCTGGGCTAGGTGGTATGGAACCCAAACTTTATATGGCATTTCTTGTGATGCTAATACACCTGCTTTGTATTTGAAACATGTTGATACTAATTATTTCCAAGCAGTGAAGTCTAGTAATATTTTGTTAAGCATTGATTGTTGATGGAAAGTGGGTATGGTGTATGGGAGGTCCATCATCTTAAAAACATTGGTTGTTTAGTGGACTTATATTTTACTGCATGTGCAATGTGAGTGATGTATGAGTGTGTGAAAATCAGTGGTGCCTAGTATTGCTCAGTATGAAGAGATATAACTACATTTACGAAGTGAGATTAATCAAGGTATAACAAATAACAGTGAATATAGATTACTTGTTGCCATAATGGACAAGGAGAAGGTGTGAAAGAAGTTTACTGTTCATTAGAGTTTAGCATTTATTCAAATGTTTGTGACTATCATTTATGTAGGACAGAGGTTTAGGAAGGGAGGAAGCTGTCATTATCAAATCTGGATCTTGTTTGTGGCTTGTACTACATGTTCATTACAAGTAACAGGTGCTCATGGATCTCGGCTCTGCTCAAAAATTTTGAAGTCCTGACAAGAAAAATTTTTGGGTAACATTAAAAGTTGTTATTATACATGTAGTATTATTCAAGCTGTGATTCTGTTCATATAATAATGATCATCATTCACGTTAATGCTGCCATCAATGCTGTGCGCATTACATGTATGTAAAAGTATGCCAGCTGTTGTTGTGCATAATGCTGCCATCAATGCTGTGCGCATTATTACGTTAATGCTTGCTGGCTGATGTTGTGCATTAGAATGATGCTGCAATTAATGCTGTGAACATACTTAATGCTTGCAACCTGATGTTGCGCATCTTAAACTGATGATTATTGTCACATGTGCATGTTCTCATCAACAAAAAAATATTGTTTGCACATTGTTTGTTCATGTATTTAGTGTCATATCATATTAAGCAGGTCATGAAAGTGTCGTAACTGAGGATAGCATTAGCAAGCAATATTATCTCAAAAATACTTGCAGGCACATACAGGTATGATCCAATCAGAAACATTGTAGATGCTACCATTATCATTATTATAAGTTAGTGTGTCACTCATACTTTTTACAGGTACTTGCTTGGCACAGACTACAATGTGGTATTGAGTAGTCAGGTTTCATGTGATTGGTATGCTTTACAGGTAATTACTGCTGGAAATGATTTCCTGATTCAGCAATACTCAATAAAATTAAAGGCAATTCTGGATTTCGATTGTTGTAACTAAATTAATTTCTTCATTTAATTTAATTTTTTTTGTTGCAGCTCCTTCATCAGTAGTTGAGTCACGCGGTAAGAGGTGCCAGTTTATATTTGTATAGGTTTCATATTATGGTAGTTTGGAATATGTAGTAAGATGGATAGTATTGTGAGATGTCTTACGTACTTTTTTATAGGTTATGATTCTAGGTTAGATA